TCCTCTCCCATATTCACTGATTGTCAAAAGAAAGAATGGAAACAGGTGTGGACATTCTTAAACGGAGCTCTGTACCGCAGTCCGAGCATGTTATTGTGGTGTCCCGTAAACTACAGCTCCCAACAATCATCCGACCAGCCTCTGCCAACGCAGGAGCTACTATCCGTCCAGGGCCCCGTTGCTTCTCTCCTGCGCCAGACCCAAAGTAAAATCGGAACCCCTTAATTCAAACCCGGACACCCTGCTGTCGAACCCAGGACCCCCAGGCTTCCTCTTCAGCTCCTCACACTTCCTGTATTTACAGATCTGGTGTCCCCTCTTGCGGTTGCGGCAGCTGCTGCACTGTTCGCAGTTCGTCTGACGTCGGCAGGGCACGCACTCCCCGCACCTCTTCCTCTTCCTTCGCCCTCCGCCGCCCCCGCCCAGCGAGCTGGGGGAGTAGCCCTCGGCTACCAGCCCTTCTATGCCCTCCGCTCCCACGGCCGTGCTCCTCCAGTGGCCTCCCCCCATCTGAAAGCCCGCCAGAGGGAACAGAGCCGGGCTGAAGGGGAACCAGGCGCCGAGGAAGGGTTGGAAGTCAGTGCTGCATCCAGAGGAGTCCTCTTCGTCCTCCTCTGGCCCAGACCCGCCTCCCTCGCCATCTCCTTTTGCGCCCTTAGCCTCCGCAGCCTCTTTCTTAGCGGGCTGGCTGCTCTGCGCGCCCAGGCTGGCCTGCTCCGTGGTGGCGGGGGTGAGAGCCAGCAGTCCGGCACGCATCAGCAGCTCTGCGGCATGGGCCAGGTGGAGCCCGCTGGGCGACTCCCACATGTCGGGCCAGGAGGGGGCCCGGCGGGGCTTATTGGGCTGGGCGGGACGCTGCTCCTGTGCCGGGGACGGCTGGATCAGGCCTTTGACGTCCACGGCAGGGGAAGGGGTAGAGATGTAATGGGAGAGGCTGTAGGGGTGGCTGGAGCGCTTAAGGCTCGGTCTCAGGGGCTCATTGGGGATTTTAGCACTGCTGTGGGCCTGATCCGGGGAGGAAGGGCCAGCGATGTCTACGGCAGTGGACATGGCAGTGGCGGGGTGTGTGTGTGGGGCGGGGGGGCGGTTTGCCCTTGTGTTTTTGTGTGCGTGGGAGAAGGGGGACCGAAGCTGACGCGGAGCTGACAACTGTCCTGCTGTTACTTCAGCCAAAATGGCAAGCCTTGGCCTGTGTCCCTATTCCCATTCTCTGCAGCGGCTTCAGAGTCCTGGAGAGCTGGAAATGAATAGGGGATGAAGACAGGAAGGTTAAGAATAGAAATGCTGGAGAGACAGACACAGAAAGACAGTAAACAGGGAAGTCGGGGTCTGTGTTTTTCCCCCGGTAGAGCGACTCAACCGTGTCGGGGAACCATCGGGCAGACGGCAGGAGTTAAAACACCAGACATATGTAAAAACTGCCACAAAACCAGAAGCAAAGGATCTGTGTGACTGCGTGTGCGAGAGGGGAAAGAGAGAGGGAGACAGAGACGGTGCATGGCTCGCAACGGATTTCCGCATACAGGAGGCAGTATCCCTTTAAGAATTTCACGGTATATCAATGCAATCAATAACAGAGCGACAACAATATGCAAAGATATGCGCATATGCGCAGGTCAAATGTGGAGCGCGCTTTTCAAATACATTTTGACGACCGCTGTTATGCTGCCAGCCGGGGCTGAACGGAGCCGAGGAGCACCAAATAAGGGACCGTAAAGAGAAACAGGCTGTCTTTTGTCTGCTATCGACGACGAGGAGCGAGGTGCGCAACGATGCGGGTGCTGTGGATAAAAAAAGACCAGGCTATATTCCGTGTCCACGTTCGCGCGTGTGTATGTGTGTGTGTGTGTGTCGGTGGAAGGAGGGGGAGAGTGGGGGGGGAGAGAGAAAAACCCCACAACACCGCCGACTAAACGCGGATCGTGTACGTTATTACAAAGTATGAGTTTGTGCCCTTTTCGACGGGGTCGATCGGGAGACGCAATCGATCGCTTTCGCTTGATCGAGGTTACCTAAGAGGAGCCGACGCCACGGCGAGCTGACCACAGTCCGAGTGGTCGCTGCGACACGGCGCTGCGCGCAGGAAAGGGAGAGGAAATCGGGCGACAAAAAAAAAAAAAAAAAAAAAACCCAAAACGGCCAAATCAACAGGAAGTGCGATGGTTTAAAAAAAAGAAACACGCGTCACTTTACCTTCCCGACTGCGGTCCCCGGCCCTCTCCTGTCAAATGTATGATGAAGTCATGAACTAATGTCGAGCCGATCGCACAGCGCTATGTGGACGGCGGAGCTGCCGATTCCTCCTCCACCTCTCCGTCCCGGAGGGTCTGCAAACACTCTGCACGGAATTTGGGGGCGTCGCTCAAAATGCGAAGTGGACTCTGCAGCCGACCGAGGCTCGTGTGGTCAGAGCGACCCCGTGATGTCCTCAGGAGCAGTCCAGCTGACGACGACTGAACCCAAACGCACCCAGCGGCTCCACTCGGCCCGGGATCACTTTCTACACTGTGTCTTCCGAAGACATGGTTAAACACCCGCTATCGTGTCCAATATTATTATTATTAATTATTATTATTATTTTGTATTTAAATGGTCGTTTTGTCATGAATTAATAGAACACAACACTTAAGACTTATTCTTATTTTTTTATTATGATTAAAAAGCACACTGGATTTCCACATGGCTTCTCTCTCCATACGAATAAACGCACAATATAAAGTTTTGATTAATGTAAAATTAAATGAATAAGTGAATTAAATTTTAGTTATGAGGATAGCGTTGTGCAGGGTGTAGTTTAATCCAAGCAGAGCCAAGGCAAAAGTAAACGAAGCGACTGCTTTGGGCCTCCACGCCAGCAGGGGGCAACACGTGAGAGCTGTTTTCTAGTTACATCATTGTTTAGAGATGCAATTTGTGTGAAAGTTATTGTTCATAGCAAAACCAATACTTATATTTACATATGCAACACACCAGGTTAAGCATTTCTTTAATATTTTTTATTTATTACTGTAAAAACTATTAAAGTGTGTTATTCATACAAAATGGACAATTTTGGTTTGCTTTTAAATTTCACTCTACGTAATTGTTACTGTAATATATTATATTGATGTAAAAGTGATACATTGTTACATATGAATGGAACTGGGTTCATAATGACGACTCTTTTGTTCGTATGTATCATCCTTATTACCATCTACTTACATCTGCAACATCGCACATAGGTAACGGGATTCTTACAAATCCATGCAAATTTTGTTCCACCTAAATGTATTCCTGATAAATGTTCAGTCTTCACGTAAACAGAAAAACAAAAAAAACATTCACACTGCTGCCATGCGTGGCCTAAACCCAATGACAGGCGCAGTTTCTCCTCAGAGCCGATGCTTTTGCAGTTGAGCGGCCCCCAGGTAAAGGCAAACTAATCAGGCCTCCAGACCAACAGGGGGAGCCCAAGACACTAAAACTCTCATTTAAGTTGATATTTTTTTCAAATATCATCAGAATAACTCTTTTAAAATGACACAATAAGTGGATAGTTGTGTTTAGTTTGTAGCCTCAAAATATGCAACATATTTTTTTAAAGTTAAACAACAAAAAGTTATTAATATGTTCAAGTCCATTAGAGCAGGTAATCCCGTTTGATACCAGGATGTAAACTATAATTAGAGCAACAAAAACAGTTGTTTTTGACTGAAATGACACTTCTGTGAGATTTCCCCTTCTTTGTAATTACAGAAAAGATCAATCTGGCCACGTGAAAATCATGTGACAGACATTAAGGTGTGAAAGCTAACGGAGCGACACGCAGCAATCAGATGATTGGATTCCATCAGCGCGTGGGTGATTTCGAGAAGCTGTATTATGTAACTTTGACTTTTTCTGAGCTTTGTATCCTGTTATGATGCTATCCCCTCATCAAAATCAGACCTGCAGTGTTGCTATGACAGAACACACCTTCCCCACTCGGCTCCTCCAGACTAGCGGCAGCAGCGACTGGCAAACATCTGGTGGAACAGAGGTTGTCATATTCACCGTTTTTCAGTCAACACACCAAAGAAACACTTAATCGGGAAACACCTTTGTAGCGTCTGAAAGAGCAGGAGCTTCTTAAGGAGACAAAGGCCCAATTTCAGGGCATCACATTAAGTTTGATATGTAGCCTACATGCTTTTTTTTTTAAATAATAGTTACTTAATTTTACTATAAAACGGCACTTTAATTCACTTAAAAAAAAAAGAATATATTGAACTTAAAGAAGCATCTTCCATAACTTACTAATGTCATGCTGTTTAGAAATATGTAGTTTGTAAGCTTGGAGCAGATTGGCTGATTTGTTCTAATGACAGCAACGAGGTAATGACATCCATCATCCCTAATAATGCTGCAGCATACATACGTTCATTTAATTCATTTAGAAATCCAGTGACATCATTTTACAATTTAAAAAAAGAGAGAGATGGGGGGAAAAAAAATCTGTGTAACCTCGTTAAAGTTTCCATTCTAACCATCCGCCGTCGTTGGCTTTACCTTTTAACTCCCGTCCAAACAGCGTCGCCCGATACAGGAGGTGACTCCTCCACGCAGGAGCGCCGGAGTCCACTCCACCTCTTCTGAGAGTCCTCCGTGCATCTGGCACGCAGCCAGACACCTCGTGCGTGTGCGTCCGTGTGTGAGCGAGCGTGCGTGTCACTATGGAGGCAGGGGCCCACGGTTACTACACCGTCTGGCCTGGACCATCCGCGTAAACACAGCGTCTTCTAGTGGTCAACACAAATACAGCCACCCGTCTTAAAATGGCCACTGGTGCTGGTGGACACTGCAGCACAGCAGCAGCAGCAGCAGCCCCCTTCGGCCAAGGCCACACACTCACACTGCAGTCGCCACATTGAGCTGTTGACTTATCATCCCGCACAATGTTAATCCATAAACACCTGGTTAAATCTGAGGTGGAGTTTTGGCCTCAAAACTACAAAAAAAAAAGTTGTGCCAACAAATTGGATCACTCAACATGTTTATTATTAACAATAAAACAGGACACTGACTCAACCACGCCAGTACACGAAAGGAAAAAAAAAAAATACAAAAATCAATCTGATGAAGAAGCAAAACAGATCCGTTAAGAGGTTTTAACCTTCAGACGCAGTTTGATCAGGAAGCCGCACACAAACAGTAGATAGTGTTTCAACGATAAACATTTTTCTCCCCCGTTTAAGACAAACGCCACGAAGCAGCAAAACAAACCTGAACATTTTCGCGTCACATTCATATGGGTTGCCGTGTTCGCCAAACAAAAGATATAATAAGGCCTGTGCTGGGTTCGACATAAAACGCTGGACCGATGCAGAAGCGCGGCGACGATTTCATGTTTGGACCGCCTGCTCTGTTCATGGGCGACGACCCCGGGAACCGACGCCCCAACGCCAACCGCAATGATTGTCGCAGTCCCTTGACCTGGATCCCGTTTCAAACATGTTGATCAGTGCGACAATTTTGGGAATTATGAAAAAAACAAAAAAACATCTGCAGTGTGTTCTGGATTCGTCCGCAGGGAGAACACAGCGGCGCTGACGAATGATCGGGCGGGTCGGGTTCGTCTCCAGCGGCGCGCTATGCATCTTTCCTTCTGATGATGAGCGGCCCGACGTTATCTCCGGTTTCCTCGTTGTGCTTGGCGTGGGCGCCGTCGCAGTACGGGAACTGCAGGAAACATGGAGGTACACACATGTTCATCGTTGGGGTGGAACGATACAAACACACAGCAGGTCAGCAGACGCATCACACCGGTCCTGCGGCGGACAACAATCTTTTGGTGTGGATGTTGTCATTGAGAGAAGAAAAGTATCTCAACTGCTTCCAGTAGAGAAGAAGTATCTACTTTGAAAGAAACTTCTTCCCACTGAGACGCACCGATCCGATATTAATATCTGTATCGGTTAATAAATAGAAAAACATTTCTAAATTGGGTATTGGTCATCATTTACCTGATCCACAAGGGCAAATCTATTCAATTTATTTCTATGCTTTATTATTCATTTTACTTTACATTTGATAATGATAATCCCTTATAGCACTTTTTGAAGGTTTGTTGGAATTTACTTTTTACACGTTGACCAAAATAGTCAACCTGTTGTTTTTATCAGTTTCTTTATTTATTTTACATTGGCTGTTATTCTCCCAATTTCGCTGACTGAACAGACTGAAGTTTTTACATGTTTGACCAATCTTGAGAAGCACTACTGGTGCAGATTCATCAAATACATTTGTAATTCAGCACATTTATGTCTGTAAAAATTTTTTAAAAAAAGTTTTATGTTAATTCAGTGTTGTTTTTCCTGTCCAAACCGATACCAAGCATCAGCTATCCATATCGGTATTGGAAGTGGAAAAAGTGGATCGGTGCATCTCTAACCACAATAAATTTTAACCTGTCAATTTGGAGATAGATTGTGATGCTTTTAACTTAAAAAAACAGTTTCAATCTATTATTTTATAATGTAATTGTTATCAATAGCATATTATGATAGTATTCTTTCTACAGCAGGAACAAGGTAAACTAAAATAACATGTTATGCTTATACATCTGACTTGTCCGCAAAAGTTACAAACTTGATCTAAAAATGAGACGTATTTTCTTGCAACAGTCTAGAAGTAATATTTTGAATACTGTTAATTAAAGCCCTGTACAAAATTACAGGGGAAAACTCATCCACAAATAGTATTACAATGAAATCAAGTTAGCTTTTCTTTCTTAAATGACAACAGCAACAAAAAGTGCTCAGACTTACAGTAGGAAATCCCCCTGTGTCGTTTCTTAAATCACACATTGCAGTTTGTCGGCGAGCGTCTGACCTTTTTAGACTTCCAGCAGCGGCAGTAGACGGCCTTGGCGCCGATGTCCTCCATGTCGAAGCTGTGCACCACTTTGGGGCTGTCTTTGCTGAAGGAAGTGTTCACGTGACGCTTCGTGCAGCAGCGGCTGCTCAGGTAGCGGCTGACCAGGAAACCCGCAGCTGCCGAGACGACGGCCACCGGCACGGCAACCAAGAAATGTTCTGGAGGGAGGAAAACGTTAAACAAAAGGGAAAAAAAAAAAGAGAGAAAAGGGATAATCTTATTGGTCGTTCACTCTGGATGCTTTCACATTTTTTACTCAGGCAGTGTGAGATGCATAAATACAAAAGGCTTACAAGGGCACTCGCCCAGGGTTCCAAGTTTTGCGGTGGCCCCCCCTCCAAAAAAAAAAATCTATCTTAATGTTTTTTTTTTCTGTACGGAGCATCTTATTAAAATCTCTGGTTCATTTCTCGGGTTCTTGTGTTTCTTTTTTTTTTTTTTTAAGTACTGCTGGATTTTTATCAATTTCAGCAAAACTTAAATATTTGAAAATTCTGCAATAATAACACGCAGCGCATAATTCTGGCACCAACATGAAGCCATCTGCCAGGTGTTTTAAATCATCCGTCCGTCAATTCATACCTTCAAATATGTAGGCCTGCCTATCAACGTACTGAGACTTGCATGAGTAAAACATCTTTTTCTCCATAGGCACTAAAACTGGCTCCAGCCCAGGGGCCCTTATTCTTCTTCATACGGCCCTGATGGACAATTATAATTTGTAGTCTTGAAATGCAGATGTTCACAATAATCTGACTTCCTTCTCCATACGTCGGTCCACACTCAGACATATGCTGGATTTGGAAAAATACTCCAAGCTTACTCCAGAATGTCAAGATAAAAAACCTGAACACATTCTGAACACTGCAAATGGGAATGCAATGTGAAACTGCCTGTTGTGCAAGATTTATCCTGATCTAGCCGGTCACATGATACACAGGCGGTAAGACGGGAGAAACAGAGGTCTTATGTTTTTTTTAGTTTTTTTTTTTTTTTTTAAGTTGCCCTTCTGCAGGATCAGCAGTCATGGCTGCTGGGCCCAGATTACCTGTTGAACCGATTAAAGATGCAAACTGGAGCTCAGATTGCTGACCAGTAGGTTAGATAAGCATCACCCGGGTTACCACGCGAAGCAAGAGGCGAAACAGAGGAAATATGTCCCTCTTCCTCGCGTTTCGCAGGTTAAAACAGCCCAGTAGGTCGCTCAGTAATCGCTCTGCAGTGAAGCTGCCTGATGTTGCTGTGGGTGGCAGACGGACACGCGCCCCCTTGGACTTAGCGCCAATTAAATAACTCCTGACGAGCTAGCATGCTGTTAGCTAGCTTTAATACTATACCTTTGGTTAACCTGAAACCGGAGTTGTGGACCGCTGCCATCGGACACAGAGGTATCAACCAGCTATCACGTAAACTCGGACCTGTCGCGTTTTCTCTGCGCCGTGGGTTGTGTTCGGTCAACGGTAAGCAGCAAGGTCAACCGGTTAGCTTCACGGAACTCTGTCCGGCCCCTTTACTGCTACGTCACATCGGATAGACCAATCGGGAGCAAGCTCGTGGAACAAGATGTTTATGGGCAAAGTACATCCGGCTTCTCTTTTTAATAGCTTAAAGAGGAAGTTAAACAGAAAAAAGAAACACGACGGACGAAGTTTGTTTTCTTAATCATTCTCTGTTAAACGAATCTGAAATGAAACGCGGGGAATGATTCCTCGTTCCGCAAGATACTTTAACAAGCAGAGAGCTAGTTTTAAATATCTCTTCCCAGACATTAATAATCGTTTGTGCTTCGCACAGCAATCAATACAATGACAAACAGCCGTCAGAATCCTCTTTATGAGACTGCTTTACGGCAACAGTGTCGTAAGTCGGAGGCTTCTTCAGTCCCAGAGTGCTACAGACCGCTACAGGAAATCCTCTCGGCCCACAGCAGCTTCAACTCTTTGAATATGACTTGCATTTAATTTCCCTTTGGGATCAATGATGCGTTTTGAACTGAAATTACTACAAGGTTCCGCCAGAGGGCGACAAAACCACTTTCTTGTTAAAAAAAAAAAAAAAAAAAGCCCCACTTAAACGTCCATTTCTGAAAGTTAATACTGGAAAAAAAGAGGTTTCAGTTTTAAAAATAGAATGTTTGAATGCAAAATATCGACCTAGATTTATCTCAATTGTAAAAATTAATTAAATAAAATACAATTACAATAAGCAAATGAATGTTTGTTTATAGTTCTTGGAAGCAAAAAGCTATTTTACAAGTTTGACTCTAGAGCACCTCAGTGGATGCTGAAACAAATTAAATACATTTCTTAAACAAGAATAGGAAATTTTAATTTCACACGAATGTGTGTTCCTCCAGTAATTAAAAAGAATAAAAGTTGAACTGGACGACAACACAAGTGTGATTTTGCACAAAAAGAAAAACTAAAAGCTCATCTCTACATATCAAAATGTCAAAATTAAGTTTGGTTCTGAAAGTCAGATGTCTGGTTTTTGAACATCAGAAAGTAAAGCCTGGAAAGCCAAACACAATTAAAGAAAACAAAAACACTCATCCGATCCTTTAAGATTGTATTTAAACCATGAATAAATCCAGTTAATTGGTTCTTCTGGTGTCCATTTACATCCATGACAACACATTCCATCTTTATAAGAGAAAACAAAAACTTAAAACCAGGGTGTCTCGGCTTTATGTATCCCCTTGAAAGAAAAAAACCCTGAGCTTCCGCTCAGATGTTTCCTAAAAGACGACTCAGGAAAAACAAAAATTCCTAAGAACTTCACCACGAAACGCTGAGCGCCACCTGGACGTCTTTTCAAACGAGCCTGACGACGAGTCAACACAGGAGTCGGAGGTTTTTATTACACAGTTTAATCAACACACAAAGCTCAACGAGCCTCTCAGGTAATTCAATATACAGAGGTTTTGTGCAGGAAGAGTGGGTTCTCCTCGCACCCAGAGCCCAAGCCAGTCCCGTAGCCATTTCAGATGTTAGCTGCTAAATTTGACAATAGCAAAAAGGTAAAAGGGGGGGCGGGAGGGTAAATAGAACAAAATTAAAAAAAATAATAGTAAGAGGGAAAGAAGCAACCTAAAAGAAACATGAGGCAGAGGAAGGAAAATAATAATAATAAAAACAAAACACAGGTTTAACTAAGAAAATGCTTAAATAGATGGTCTAGAATCTCCACTTTGAGAGTGAAGAGGAAGAAAGAAAAAAAAAAGGTGGAGACGGAGGGGCGGGGGTGGGGTTACAGCTGTGTGTGTCCGTGTGTATGATGGGGTTTTCACCTGGGTGGAGGGCGTGGAAGGGGGAGAATGAGTTGTGTGAATAAATTCAAGTCCTTTCGTGGAATCCAACAGAAGCGCAAAATAGGCCATGAGTTTGTTTGTTTGTTTGTTTTTTTTCTTTTTCTTTTCCTCTCTCCATCATACACAGCCTGCAATGACTTATGCAGTTTGTTTTTTTATTTTATAAAATACAGAGTGCCCGCAGACTCGCGTGTGAAAACTGCTGTCCTGAATCGACGCCTTCGCAGATGGAAATTTCAACAAAACGAAAAAAAGTCCCTCTTTTTTTTTTATACGTTTTTAAAACCCTTCTTGCCTCGCCCCCTTAAAAAAAACAAAACGGGGGAAAAAAAAAATAAACAAAACACAAAGATCCCCTCAAAGTTTTACAGTTTCTAAAGAGGAATGTTTTTAGTAAAGATGGGTAAAAAGGAGGGTGCAGGCATGCAGGAACAAGGGCTATATATGGTTGGTGGAGGGGGCGGAGTTTGGGGGGGCGACAGCCCAGCCTGCTTGGATGTCGAAATGGAATCAAACGAGGAAGTGGCGCGATGGGATCCAAAAAAAACAAAACAAAAAACAAAAACAAAAAACAAAACAACGACATGGGGATGGAAAGAGTATGGTCAAGAGGAGACATTTTCTATTTTAAAGTTGACAGTCTGTACAATGGAGGATGGACAGATGAGCTGGGAGGCAGGATGGAGGGGGGAGACGGTCGAACAGAGAGGGGGGGACGGGGGTACAGAGGGAGGTTTACAGTCGCTGTGGTGAAGGAGGGGCATGGCTCAAAGAAAGCACTCCAATGGAAACCAACAAGATCTTGTTTTTAAACTTCTCATTTGTTTTGTATGGTTTTTTTTTTTTTGTTGTATTTGTTTTTTTGTCGTTTTTTTCTTTTCTCTCTCTTTACATCTGAATCTCCCCCTCGCCTTGCGTCGTAGAGGTGGTTGGCCATGTTTCTACCCCCAGCACTACATTGCATACTTTTGTGTCCATTCCCGGGCTATTTTGTTGTACCTGCGGACAGATGAGACAGAAAAGAAAAAAAAAAACAACAAGGTCAGATTAGTTTTTTTTATGTTTAAACTTTCCTGCATACTAAAAAAGACAAACAGCAGGAAATAGCTACGACTTGTTAGCAGCTGCTGAGTGCTTCACACATTAAATAATAGGGAAGTTGAAGCATCTAAATAAGATTCTGTGGAGAAGTCTGGGTGTGTAGTCAGAGCTGAGTGGTAGGATTGTGACATGATGCGCTTCAGTGACAGACTTGTTCATAATCATCATTTGCAGCCATTGCTTGCTTCCTGGTCTAGAGCGTCTTTTATTGGGGAATTATGACACAAGTCTCACGTCAAAGACGTAAAAGTCGGACGAAGTGCAACGTGATCATTCAGACTTTGAAAAGAATCGCAAATGTATTTGAGGTTGTAAGTGGCACAGAGTGGATTTTTCTGCGGGAGTGAAAGGATCAGAATTGGGTTGTTGAGACTGCAGTGGAAAAAGTCAGATGTGAGGAAAGAAATAAAAAAATAAAAAAAACAATAACCCAGATTTGGGTCACATTTCCCTGTGTGAACGCAACCTAGGTTAAATATTTTAAATCCTGTCCTTTAATCTTGTTAAAAATAAATTAAATTTGATTCAAACTGGTTGTGGCAGGTCAAAGACGTACAAAACCACAAATACTGATCTGGGCATATCTGTGATCGTAAACAGATCGTTTACGAGGCCTAGTAAACGAGATTGGAAAACTATCTTCATGCTGAATGTATCTATGTTGTTTTGGTCAGAATTGGTTTAATTTGTTCAACAGCTTCCTTGATTTATTTATTTTTTTGTTGCTATTTTCAAGAACCGGTTGTACTCTTGAAAATTGACACAAAAGCTAAATAGACAAACACTTTTAGCCCGAAGCCAACTGTGAGCCTCAGTGTGAAACGCTCCGAGCACAGCAACACAGGCCTGTCATCCGTCCATCTGCACTGCTGATCGTCACAGATACATGAAAACTGAAACAAAATGGATCCCAGGAAAATGAAGAAAAGATAAAAAGAGAGAGAGACAACAGCGTACTTTTCCCTGTCAGTCTTGTAGATGCGGGCGATCTCGGGTACTAAGGGGTCGTCCGGGTTCGGGTCGCACAGCAGGGAGCAGATAGACAGGAGAACTGAAATGAAACGCAGGGAAACAATTACGGTCATTTTACTTTTGATGCCATTAACAAGTTATTTTCATAAATGATAATATTGTTGTTTTGAGACCATTTTCTAGTAATATAATGGCAATGGCACAATGAACAAGATCAATAAACTCTAAATTCTAATGAACATTTAAAACTGGAACTGGAAGACATTTCAGATTTCCAAAACAAACAACAGAAACAACAAATAAAAAAGATTATGAAATCTCAAAAGTCAACAAAAGCACCCCTGAAAATAAAAAAAGAATAAAAAGAGAAAAGGCACGGGCCTCATTCAGACTGAAGATCTTTGTTATCCAGTTCTTGGTAGAAAGAGAAAAGGGAAAAACAATAAATCATGCAAATGGAGATTATTGAGCTTGTTTTAATTTACCATGTGATTAATTGATGTATTGCTTAATGCGACAGGATATAAATCAAACAAATCATGCAAAAATCTGACATTTCAGGGAGGACGGCATAGCACATAGGAAGTAATTTCAACGAAAAAACACAAAAATAAAAAGTAAAACAAAAGGAAACGGCTGCTTTGAGTCATCGGCTCGCAGAGAGCCGCTCACCTTTGGAGATGGTGAGAGCTGGAGACCACTGTGATCGCAGAATGTCAAGACAGATGCTGCCGTTGCTGTTGATATTTGGGTGGTAGATTCTTGTGGTAAACGCAACCTGAGAGCAGAGAAACGGCGCCGTGAGGAGGGTACGCAACGAGCAGCGCAGGAAACTACACCGACGTATTTCTTTTGTTTGTTTTTCAGGAAGTCTACACAACGTTTGGTTACGTCAATCACGCAGCTTCTGCGTCTATGTTCTAGTTACCTTTGGCGGTTTGAAGGGGTAGTCTGTGGGGAAGTGTATGGTCAAGAAGAAAACCCCGCTCTGGTAAGGACTGTCATTCTAAAGCAGAAAGACACATTCTGGTTGACGAGTAGCGAAAAATGTCAACCAAAGTCGACGTTCTATGAAGAGCTCATGCAAAACTTCATAAGGAACATTCAACAAAGCGGTAGGAGGTGAGCATGTGAATACTTACAGGTCCCATTATTGTGGCTTGCCAGTGAAACACTAAAACAAACAAAAACAGAAGTTGGTTATGAAACGCAAAGAATATAATGTTAGAATGAATAAGGTGACACGTTTGCTAAACGGGAAGCCTGAAACTCACTCCAAATGCTGCTTTTTTTACCCCTGTACAAGACAGGCAGATTTCAAAAGATACTCCTGCTAAATGTGTTGTGATGTGCAAAATAGTGTGATAAATATGTAAAGAAATATATAATTAAAATGTGTCCAAGCATCATTCTGCCTGCGAAGATGTGTCAATCTAAAAACCCACAGAAATTTTGCATTGTGAGAAAAAAAAACAACACTTTTTTGTAGGTTGTACGGTGGTTTATTTGATGTCGGATGGCAGGAAATGACACACAGACAGCAACAGTGTTACGGCTGATGTTTCTCATGGTGAGGCGTCAGCGTTTTAAAGGAACCCAAAACTGGCTTCAAATCCACACACAATCAATAAAACAAACTAAAACTCAAATTTAAAGTTTGTTATAATTTTTAAATTTTGAGTTGCTGGGTTAATGAGATTTATTTTTATTTTTTTTACTAGCATGAAGTGATTGACAACATAGTGACTTGTAATTGCACTGGAATGAAACGCTCAAAAAATACTTTCATTGAAACACTGAATTGGGCAAAAGTGAGCCGTAACAGTAGAGGTGCTGAAACAAACCAAGTAGACATCAGAGACAGTTAATCTCTTCTTGATTGCTTATCAGCGGATACAATGCTGAAAAATCTCTTTTTTTTCTGATCGAAACTACAAACTCTTTCCGTTTTCAGTCTCTAAACACCCACGGATTTTGCTACGTCTCACAGTTGAGGACAGTACAAGTCAGATAAAGGTTAGGTATATAAACTTTGATAAATATTAGAAAATTAGATAGATTCAAAATTATTATATCAGTAATCTTTTTTTTCTCGTTTTAGTCTTTAGAAAATAAAAACAACTTTAGCAACTATAGCTGTGTTTCCATTAAAAATGTGCACAAAACTTTGCGGATATTCCGCGAATGTCAGAAAGGAAAAAAATTACAACTTCGCAACTTTTCTAAATAAGAAGAGTTAAAATCACATGTAAATAACTTTTCTTACACAATAAGACATCAAAAAACATTGCGCGCCATATTCTAGCCGCCGCTTCCTGTCGTCTTCTTTGTCATTTCCGACAGTAGTAACGTTCAGTGGTTGATCATGTGTTTTGTGTGAGTGTTTCAAAGGCAGTTTTTTGAAACGCACCAATATCAACACAGCTGAAAAACCGCAAATGCAACAATTTTTTCTTTGACTGCCGGGTTTTTACTAAGCAAATGTGTTCTCGTAATTCACAATAAGGTCAATGGAAACACAGCTAGTGTTGCCAGACACTGTGCACTTTTTTTTTTTTTTTTTTTTACAGGTAAACTATCTTTACAGAAAGGAAACACCATATATGCACTTCCACATAAGTACAATGTTTTTAATAATAATAATAATACCGGTAAACATTTAGCACAAAGGACCGAGTTGAAAACAAGAAGCATTCAAGCTCTTGGAATAGGTGAGGTGCAATACCTGAACAAGTCTCAACTCTCAAACATGAAACAACAACGTGGGAGTCGGTCCCAGGTGTTTTAGTCATGATAAGCATCAGCTCACCCGGGCCGCGTCTGCTGCAGCTTTACAGGTACAGCACAGTGTCTGTGTCCATCAAACTCTGTGGATTTGCATAAATCAGTGGGCTTATCTAGCTTGTTCTTATTATAATTCAGTCAACAACACAAAAACTTTACATTATGTGCCCTGAAAAGCTAAAACACTACAATTATTGATCCCTTATTGTTTTATTGCTTTAAATTATTGCCGTTTCTAGAGGTTTCTGTTTTGTCTGTTTTGACATTTCCATTTTTTTTATTTATTCATTGTCATTTCTATGGTATATACCTCATGTAAACGTGTTTGAGCAAACATTGACCATCAATCAAATATACCAAAATAGAAATATTCCTGCATTGAGCTAGTAGTTTCTAATCCAACAGTGAACAAAAAGATAATTCGCCGTTTATGAATTAAACCACTTTTTCTGGCTGTTACCATACCAGAAAAAGCTATGGATACAAAACAGCGCCATTTTGTAAAGCATTCAGTATTTGACCTGACCAGTACAGATTAGAGTCAGATATAATGGGTCATCAATTGACTAGTTTATCAACACATTCATTCAAGAATATACGAATGTCACAAAGTCCTAATGAATAAATCAATGTTTGAGCAGGATGTAGAGTGGCGTTAGAGAGAATGCTGCCGTTTCACTCAGTGTGCCACTTTGCATACGACCTCTCTGCTCTCTCAAGGTTCAGTTTGGATGTAAATGAAAGGGTCCGGTGTTCTGTGAGGACTAAAAGTGATTTGACTCATTTACTTTACATGACAAAAGATCAAATATCTCCTTCGACGCATTGTTTAATCCACTCAAGTCTCTATTGCTTAGTGGACAGTAACCACAAATCCATACGCGCTTAAATTAGGTGTTACGGTACGGGTCCGAGAGGCCCGGTTCGGTTACGTTTACAGAGAAAAACTCGGCAAGTCCAAAGTCAGAGAGGTAAATCGAAAATAAATTCCATTACATGAAAAAAAATTGTTCAGTATCACAATTGTAAAAATTAAAAGGCCAGACAATGCTAATTTGAGCTCTTAATTAACCTATTATCAGCAAATCAGGGGACTTTTACAAAAGCAGCTTTGGTAAAAATGAATACCTGACCCTGCCAGAAACAGCCAAATAATTAAGGACTCAATCTTTGCTCCGATATGCAAAGACTGTCAATGGAAGTAAGATGGAATTTTTTAATTTTTATTTTTTAAGCCAGTTGTGTCGAGATAGGAAGCTCATGAGACACTAATTAACTTTGAGGCGTTGTGTGTTCAGGTGGAATGGTTTTGGGCCATAAAGGCAACTACCCAAAACCTTGCTTGTATCAAACAAATTGGTTTGTCTTTGCATCAATACATTGGTTGGTTGTTTTAAATAAAATTCTAAAAAACAATACAAAAAAACCCCACCAAGGGATTGTAAAACCCTGGTGGGTTTTACAATATGATGTTATGTACTAATAACATCATATTAGTAGTTTGATGTTCAACTAAAAACATCTTTCAAGGAAATGCCTTAATTGAGTAAAGTTACTGTAATGTCAGCTCCTGGTGTCAAAAGTGTAGGAAAATATCATCTAAAATTGTGACTCCAGCAATGAAGGAGTGAACTACAGGCAGGCGAGAGTCTGATATAAAAAACTGCAAATCCCAGAATGCACTACATTCACCCACTTTGCTCATTTTGGCATGTTAACAGAAGCTTTGACAGCAGTCAACCTCTTACACGACAGCTCCTGATTTGAAGGAGACATATTTATTGGACTTAAAGGCTAGCATCCCAGTTAGCAGTCAGCTGTTCGTTTTACTTCCCCAGCCGAAGTTTTCCACAAAAGTGGCGGCTTTGAGGATAATTCTGAATAATTTACACTTATGTTATAAATCCTGTTTGACTTCGATGTGCTGAGAAACTTTTCATAAAACAAAAGTAAAAGGTTGCATCTGGGCAGACATAAACTAGTTTAAGAAAACTACTTGAACATCGGTTTTGATATTCAATTATCGGTTGAAGTGTTAAAAGTTTAGATTGATCTAACACTTCATTAGGCCTGTGGTATTATCAGTGTGTTATGATGAGTCACTATGATTATACGTGAGCTTACTCCATTTACCAGAGTTAACCTTCCCTCTCTTTTCAATGGGCTATAAATAGTCCATAAAATGATTGACATTTTAAGAATCAATTGTCAAATTATTTTCTTTTATTTCTAATTCAGCAAGTTACATTACTTTATCAAAACATCACTTAAATCTTCCCTTCTGCTTTGTGTTGTGCATTGAATATTTGAACACACACCAATCGCTTTCACCATTAAAGCTGCAGTAGGTAGCTTTTATAAAAGAAAATTTTATATACATTTGTTAAGACTGTCACTGTCATGCCGGTTTAATAAGAGGCAGATAATCTATGAAAATTATGATAAAATCAAGTTCCTCTGACTTTTTTCAGTGATTCCGTCGTCATCTGCAGAAACGCACCGCTCCCAATCAGAAACAACCAGTAAGAACCAAATGTAAACAAAAGTCTGAATAATTCACAATTATCGGAACCTCACCTAGACTTTTAAATTGAAGTAAAACAAAAAAAAAAAAATAATAATAATGGAGAGATATAACTTCAGGTAAGCAGTTACTACAAATTAATTAATTGAAGCGAAATTAGCAAAAATCCCAGCTTTAATGACGGAAAGGTTAAAATAAATGTGCTGCAGCGCAAAAAAAAAGAAAAAAAGAAAAGAGAACAATACTGCGCTGTTTTGAGAAACAAGTCTGGGTATTTCCTGGATGTGTTTACACAACAAAAAGAGAAATGCTTCCTGAATTTAGGTCAATGCACGGGACTCGCTGCTGATACTTTTATTTTCCTTTCCAACGGACACAGCTTGAGCTTCACGGTCAGTCTGCGATCCTACTTTCAAAGCCGTGGTCAACAAAGTTACTGAAGGTAATTTTGGTCTTGTTTTGAGTTTTTACATTAAAGAAGAATGCATTAAGATGAAGTTCAATGGGGAGCAGGACAAATTCCTGCAGCTAGTTTCTATTTTTAGGTGGACTTGGACTCACCAGATTACAGAGTTGGGCGCTAGATAAACTAGCTCCAGGTCTGGTTCATAACTCACAGATTCATAGTCCAATCGAATAAAGTTCTTGACATCATTTGGGGCAGTCGACTGATGAAGTATGACAAATTGAGTCTTTGGTTCCAAACAAAATAAATATAAGTGAGCCATTTACTGGAGTTGTGTAGGAATATTTCTTGACAGCAGACCATTAGTAAGTAATTTTAAAAGATTACTTTGAAATGGTCAAACACAACTTTTGCATGAATGGTCGACTTAAATCAAATCAACATTATGATAAAAATAATCAAGTGCTAAATGAGGAAAAATTAGATAATTGTATGATTAGCTATGTTTATGAAGCCTTAAGCTGACACGCTGCAGTGTTTGGACAGATTTTTATTGCCATATTCTGTTAATCAGTGAGTGGCAAGGAAGCATAAAAATCTGCTTTGAGAGTCATAAGAATACAATGTCGTGGACATGCTGTCGAAAAAAGATGAAGCCAAGAAAATATCCAGGAGAACGCAAAGCTTGTGTCGTTATTCTGTGCTTTTAAAACCTTTTGTCATCGTTAATGTTGACATTTCTGTCTGCAGACGTCTTTAAAAGCTTCGGGTCTCGACCAGAGATTTCTCCAATTAGAGGAACATTTGTTTCTTATAAACGTTACCCGCTGCAACTTTGAGAAGCTCGTAGTATTTTCTACTTCCACGTCGTCTTGCAGGGCAAGTTGTACCTTCCATAATTACCAATACAGTTATTGTATGTTTGAAGCTGAAATGGGTTGACAACACAATTAAGGGAAAGTGGTTTTCATCCTTGTTTTTATATGTTTTAGAATCCATACAGTCACAATTAATTTAATCAAATCAATTAAATCAATTATTTGAATGATAAATTAATATGAGTGCAATAATTTCCACTGTGTGTAATCTTTAAAGCGACTCTTACTATTATTGAAAAGGCGCCATTTTGAAGAATGCTGCAAACATTTGTCACGTGTGTTAACTGGCAGATTCGCCTTTCTCCCTGTCTGAGCCTTATTATTATTTACATGCTTTTTCTTCATAGTCAATTTAATTTATTGTTTTGGTTGTTTTGTTTTTCTTTATTTTGGAAAACTAAAAAAAAAATCTACCTGTCCCAGTATTAAATGTCATTTGGAAGTCAAAGTCTATCAATCAATGAGAGGATGTACTTGCATCATTATGACTTTTTGATTATATTAGTTGTAAATGGTCTCAAAACAACAATATTGTTGTATATCACAATAAGTTCTGGCACAATTAATCGCCCAGCAAAATTTGTTATCGTGACTGGCCAAGGGTAGAGTCCCATGTACTTACACATTAATGTTCATTAATATGCATTGTCACACTTTTAGAAATAAACTTGAACAATTAAGGGGATCGTGTAAAAGAATGGCTTTCATCAATAAAAATTAAGCAATTCAGAAATTCTGAACTTTAAGCAAAGAAAAAAGTAAACCTGACCAAATGTGTTACTTTTTTTAAACATTTTTTAAAATTTGATATTCCAATTTGTCTAACCGTTTTTGTGTGTTGTCAGTCGCTTTGAGGCTTTATGTTTCCAACACAGGAAGTCAGCAGTTTGGAAAATCATGGTGATAAATCTTAAAGGAAAACCTATAACAATATATATTATATACTATAACAATGCTTAAAACTCAAAGCACCTATTACCTAAAAATACTTTATTAGGTAAAGAAATCTATTGCACAGTATAAGTACGTAAAAAGCTTCCTCTACATTTTAAACAGTCTGACTGTAAAAACATGTTCTGTTCCTTACCTATGTATCAAAGAACTACGCATGAATGTTATAGAAAATATAACTGATATTGCGGGTCAAAAATCACAATTATACAGCGTGAATCTCAATCCAAACCAAACTTATTTTGATCAGGTCTGTTATTTTCTCAGGCTTGATTCAGATGCTACACTGTGTATAGCAGCATAATATGCACCCAGATGACACCAACAAGTCTCATCTGTTCTTACGCAACAAAATGTAGAATATGGACACTTCTGAATGCACAGTCATTCCTTTTTCTGATGACAATGATGATCATTATTATTATTTGTCTTTTTTTCTTTTTTTATCAGTACAGATTTTGGCGTTTTAACTTACTGTCATCTCCTACTGGTCCTGCAGAACACTGGGCTGGAGGGTCTCGAGCCAAGTCATTCAACTCCTATGACAAAAAAAACAACCAAATAAAAACATTGTTTGGTCACATTCTGCTTCACTGTTTTGATTAAGAAATATCAAAATAAATCTTAGACAGAAATATAATACATTTGAACCTAATTGTCCACTCTGAAACTGCAGATCGCAATAAATAGTGCAACAAGAACTTGTTCATCCCCTTTAACACGAGTCTACTACTATAGCGCAGTAAGCTTTGATTAGCGCAGTAACAGCTATTACGTAACGTCATTTCTCCTGATATCCAGGTTGCACTGAATAACCTAAAAAGAAACAAAAACAAACCCATAACAGTACGACAGCATTTTTTGATGATCATGTACAGCCGTAATAAACGATGTGTGGCACCGTGCAGCATTACAGTGAAAAAAGCTACTTTAGCATACAAGCTATCTGTTGAGGTTCAACAGTAGCACAGGGTGTCATGTTAAGACAGTCTCCGCTGGCTGCTCGGCTACATTTAAACATGTGTTAGCAGAACTGAATTACAACACAAAACAGCACAATAAAAGGTTTCGCTAAGGAAGTAAAAATAAAAAAAGCCCTAACAATTAAAAATGACGACGTCCTGCTCTTTATTTAATAGCAACACGCGATCAAAGGCAAACCAACAAGCAAACGGGCCCGTTTCAACAACGTCTAAAAATATGTTAGGATTATACAACCAGCTATCAAATACTACTCTATGATTACCTCATCCTTACAAGAAACAACGAAGTGAGAGACGCACAACACGACGAGCCTTCATTAGAATTGATAATGTGGCGTTTGGATAAAGAGAGTAGCTACAAGGGTACACAAGGCTAGCTGGCGCTACACCAATCGTTACCTACGAGATGATACAGTAATGTATACCGGTAAAGAAAAAAAGAACTACAAGACGTAAACATTTTGACGCCGATAAACGGTCAGCTGTTTTATTTACTAAGCACCAGCGTCTTTGTTGAGCTATGGTTAGCCTTGCCGTTAGCTGCTTAACATAAGTGGTGTCTGTCAAACCAAGTTACTGCATTTTTATATATATTTTTTCATTTCAAAAATATTTGTCAGACAGCTAAGCTGCTGTATACAAGTGCTCATCAGGATATACATTAAGTCTCAACCGAAGAAGCCATTCTTATATGGATGACTATAATATATATATATTGTTAAATACGGCTAGCTAGCATAAAACGAACGTTTTAGCTTCCCCAAATTAGCCAACCACCGGGATGACCACCACCAACAGCTAGCACGCCACTGTATTTAATAGCGTGACAGTCGGAGATAAGTTAAATTTCAAGTTAACGTTAATATCTGACATAACGGGATTAAATGTAAACACAACGTGACCCCACGGAAAAAAGGACCGGGAGGAGCTAACCCCCTCAACAGCTAAAGTTGGCCCATTTCAAGCGGCACCAGTTAAGAGACGTCGGACCGCTGCTATCACCACCGTCACCAGCCCTTTTGCCGATCTGCATATAAAACTAACTTTAAGGGCTTTTCGTAATGTTCAAAATGCTCCTCGTCATAATAAACTCGTCGGACGAGCACCTGGACGGTAGCCGCGGTTCACAATCTACAACAAAACTGCGAAATCCAGGGCCTCGTCGTTCACTTCCTTACCTTGTGAATTCTTTTCAGAGCCATTGTTGTGCTAGCGCTTCTGTCAGAGAAAACGTGCGATTAAAATGGCGATTGGGAACCACTTCGTCCGTTGGTGAAAACTGCAGCTCAAGGAGTCATAAAACACCGTCTCTACATACACCGGTCACCGTGTGTTACCAAATGGAGCCGCCGAGAAAAAAATTTGAGGCGAAACTGAAAGATAGAAGGGGTAGAACCGCGGTCCTTCCTCCTACTGCAGCGGCTACCAAATCACTGCGGCCTGCCTGTGTTCCCGTGAGCTGCAACAAGAAGAGCACTTCCGGACAACCCTCTTCACAATAAACGTCTTTGTTTGTTTGTTTGTTTGTTATGGTGTTTTTTGTTTTTGTTTTTAAATCTATTTATTAATTTATTTTTTACAAAATATACAGTATTTAATTTTTTTAACACCACGCATTAAGATGAGCTAATATGAAAACTTAAAGTTGATTGTCCATTTTAGTAGTCTAACTTTTTACAACAATCACAAATACAATTGGAATAGATCTCAAATAATAGCTTTTTTTTGGTCATTTTTATTTTTTTGCACTAGAAGACTTTTACAAACATTTAAAAATATATGAAGTGGGAGTTAATAAAATTTTATTCCAATACAGTAATAATGATTTCAAGTCTATAGTCCAATAAAGAAACGGTAATTTGAAGCCCGGTCGTCTAGTCCCTCATTGCATGACACTGAATGGGATGTTTTTGGACAAAATCAATCTCTGTTTAATCCTGCGTTTATATTCAACTGCTCGAGTAAATAAACAGATACATAAGTAAATAAATAAATAAAACTTGTGTTTGTCAAAACTTTAATTGAATTCTGCGTGTTCACAAGCTCTTACAAATACATTTAAGCATTCGTAAACAATACGTAGTTAACAGAGGTTAGATTTACTGCTTGGGCTGAGGAAAAAAAGTGGAGAAATAAAATGGGTTTATTTATGTATTTGTTGGTTAATACATAAATGCATCGTGTTCATCGCAAAAATAACCAAATAAATAAAAACGAAGTCGTCTTTTAGTTCATATCCATGCACATTTCTGTGACGTTAGTTAATTCCGTGCTTGAGTGGTCGCGAAGATCTCTGCGTTTTATTTTGAAGGTCCACCTGCAGACAGTGAAACAGTGTTTTTGTTTTTTTGGTTGTTGGTTTTTTTTTTTTTTTTTTTTGCGCATCTGTCATTGCGCTGCTATAGGTAGCCCTCGGCTCCGCAGATTTGCCCGCTTTGCTGCATCCAGTGCGCCTGGGCAGAGAGCTGCAGCCTCTGCTGCTGATGCTGCTGCAGCCACTGCTGCTGCTGATGCAGCTGATGCTGCTGCAGAATCTGCTGCTGCAGCTGATGCTCTGTGGACGCAACATGAGCAAACGGCGGGTTTGCTGGACTCTGGAGCTGCGGTGTCGTCCGGCTGCGCTCGCTCAGCGGGGAGCTTTTTGTGTTTACGGTTGTAACTGATACGTCACCAGAGGGCAGGAGTAATCCCGAACAGATTCAGTGTCAGCAGAGGATCCTCGACTGAACGCCGGGTTCAGGGAGGACAACTGGCCTGAGATTGGACCTCGGATAAAATCTTAATGATTGTAATATTTCAAAAGAACAGTGCAGTCCTCTTTGTACCCCCGGCAGTGGAGGACAGAGCGATAAAGTGGACCGAATCGCCAGGCGAGCAGTTCACTTTTAAGAACTTTTGGAAACTCCAGTCCGACGCCAAAGCAACGTGTTCTGCTGAGAACATACAGAATAATCTAATCTTATATAAAACTGCAGCTCATCCACAGAATAAAAAGTTTTATGTGTGTGAAGAATAAACTTGTTTTCTAGATTTGAAGAGAAGCTAAAATGGGAGAAATCTGAGCTCTCCTTTTAATTCATATCAGAGTTCTGGCTGCAGTTTCTGCTGTAATTTCTGAGGTTCATTATAAGTATATCTGTAGACGTACAGCCTGGAAGTAATAAATATAACAGCATTAAAAAAAAAAGAAAAATTTATTTCACCCTTGAACAAGATACTTTTACTTTTGGGAGTGCTGCACTGGCAAAAGAAGGACCTCCATTGTTCCTCACCTTAGCACCGAGAATCAAAATAATCCTTGAAAAATACATTTGTCTGTCAGAGGGTTTTGTTGAAAGTCAGCACCCACTGATTTTCTTTTATTCGTTTATATATATGTATTTATTTATTTACAAGCAGGAAATGAAATATTACCTTTGCTTTTATGTCTTCAAGACATGCATATAGTCGAGTTAACTGATTGGATTTAATGGATTGAATTAATGGATAAATACACCTAAATGTCATCAACATAACACTGGAAATGCACACACACACACACACACACACACACACACACACACACACACACACACACACACACTCACACACACACACACACACACACACACACACACACACACACACACACACACAAACACACACACATTTATAGTTGTGTGGTAGTGTGAATGAACAAACTGGAATCTATCAGATAAATATAATATAATATAGTGCCATTCCACTTCAGCCTGATCAAGCACTTGTAAGAAAATAATGTGATCACCTCTACAACTACAGACTTGTAGAGGTTTAAGTCCTTTTTTATGAGAATATCATGAGTTTTGGAACCTCACTGAAACTCTTCAGTTTGTCACTGTGGAAATGAGCGAAAGGCTGTGAATACATGCGTCACTGATTGTTTGGCTCTCTAGTTTTCATAAATTTGTAAAACACACCAACCCCCCCCAAACAGTCATAATGTAATTGTGTGTAGAATTTTTGGGGAACAAGATTAAATTGACGCAATTTGGAATAAGGCCCATAACACGACAAGTTATGGAAAAAGTGAAGTGGTATGACTACTTTCCAGACACACTGCACCTGGATGAAAATGGGAACTCAGGCGAGCTTCATTTCTTTGAATCAGGAGTTTGGTAGCAGCAAAACTTCTAAACAATGAGGACAGTGTGCTTTCATTACGGCTGCAGAAACCTCTGGACTTTCTGTCTCTAACAAGGCATAAAGAAAAAAAAAAGAAGAAACACCTCCAACTTATCAACTGGAAGGAGAGAAACTTTTTTTGCAGATTTGAAATCGTGACTCTTTCCATCCGCGGAGCACCTCAAAATTGGAAACCAGCTCCTGCCTCGTCCCCGCAGAGCGGGACAAGGCCATAAAGTCCTCTCCAGCTGCTGGTCTAATTCCTGTGAGTGTTGGCTGTTCTTCCTGCTGCTTGTTGCCCATGCTTTCCAAAGCTGTCACTTCCGTCTTATTGTCAAACTCGGCTGTCACTGCGGCCCTGTGAGCCTGCAGGTCTGCAGAACCAGCCGGAGTCTGACGCTTGTCATTTAAAGTGTGTTGCTATTTTTGCTGCCCTATCGTACCCTCCACCTTCACCTTGTTTCACTCGTCCAGGATGGCCACATTCTCCATCAGCCGTCTGTTCACTTGGTGTTAGTTTAAAACACAAAGTTTTAAACTAACATTTAATCCGGCAGGGCCGGATTAAATATCATGTAGGTCCCCGGGCTGGAAACCATTTTTGGTGCCCCATTCACTAAAGAAAAAAATATTTTGATATTTTAAATTACAATACATTAACTCTGTATGGACTGATGACACCAACTAATGACAATAGGTTTAATACGTCTCTTGGCCAGCAGCTCCATGTAGTTCATGTAAAATATGAAATGTTCAAATACTGAAGTATATTGTTCATATTCGAAGAAATCCCAAAATATTTCTATCACTCAGCTGATGTGGGCCTAAGACTCTTATACAAAGTGCATTGTTTGAAAATAAAATAAAATAAAAAAAGTCTGTGGGGCGCTCCAAAAACTGGCGCCCTGGGCTACCGCCACTGTCAGCCCTTTCTTAAAGTCTGACCCAATATGTGAGCTGCACACAAAAAACAAACGCAAAGAACCTGGATTAGGAACAGGTTAAATAATGTGAGATTATTGAACTCACTCTGTATTTTAGTTGATGCTGTACAGCAGCTGCTATCTGTCCATACTGTGTTGTAATGTACTAGCTTAATGTCTGACACGGTGCAGGACAACAAATGAGAAACTGCTCAAAGGAGGCATTTTAAGAGTGTGCTGGTGTGTGTGAACACAATACCAAGGAGAAGAGAGCATGAACTAATAATCCCCACCAGTCTGGCAAAGAATTTATTTTAATTGTCCAACTGCGTGAAACTGTAAAAAAATTGTGGAAAAATGTTTGAACAATTTTCCAGTGAGGACGTTTATTCACAAATGGGTAACATTGAACTGAGCTGCTCGTCTTCTTCCAAGTGGCAAGGCGCCCCAGCAAATTTAACTCAAAATCAGAAAGCCTGTAAAAAAGAAACACAAGAAGAGCTACAACCCGGACAAGAAACTTGGCTGGAATGTTAAACAATGAATTTTATGACAGCAGTTAGAAAAATACTGAACAAGTACCTTTTTTTTGTTTTTGTTTTTTTGGAAAGACCTACGAGGACAACACCTCTTCTCTCTCAGAAGTGTATGGTAGCGAGACTTTGCAAAGTTGACTTTCAATAAATATGAAAACGTCAGGAACAATGTTCTTTAGAGGAGATCAAGTTGAGATGATCGGTCAATGCATAAGTGCCACGTTTGGAGAAAAAGCAAGCAAACAGCAACAGTCGTAATGACAATCATGACAAGAGAAAACAGTGTGCTGTTTTTCCGTTCTGTTTTTCTGAAGCAAAGACTTCTTGAAACTGCTGAGCATGGTGGTGGATGTATGATGATTTGGGCTTGTTTTGCGGCTTTATGTCCTTTGTCCTTACAATCATCTCTGATCGTCAATGTTTTCTGGAAACAAAGTTAAGAGCTGGGTCGTCCAATATCTGAAGCTTGACCTCAGGTCAATCCAAAAAGAGCCGGATATCTTCAACAGAACGGCAGAAAAAATAAAGAATCAAGGTGTTGTACTGGATCAGTCAAAGTCCAGACTGGGATCTGAAGAAAGGCGAGCAGAAATGAATCCCTGTAGCTAATGCGACGTTGTGAGGGGGTAAATATGGGTCAAATTTCCTCCACAATAATTTGAAAATATCAAAAACCTCTTGGCTGGAAGTGAGAATTGGATTGAACTTTTCTCAGAGTGAAGTCAAAAACTGAAGTTATTTCAACTACAGAAGGTAAGGCTCGCTGTTAGAAGAGAATTTGTTTTATTTCTTTTTTGATACGGTACTGTTTGTACGACGAGCAATTCATCCATCCACTTTCTAACACCTTTGACCCCAGTGGGTTACTGGTGCCCATCTCCAGCGAGACATTTTGGACAAGGTTCACGCTGGACAGGTCACCAGCACTTGAGCAATGATTTTATTTTATTTTTTTAATTCACCGGTAATGAAATACTTTGTTTCCAGAGAGAAACAAAAAATATTAGACATTGTGTAAAAGTCTTTTGAAAGAAATGGACAGTGGGGTTTTCCGATTTATGCAGATGGATATGAAATGCTTGATATGAAAGATGGTGTATCTTATTGTTTTTTAAAAATTGGTCCCATGTTACAAATTCATACTGTACAGAAGCATCTGTTCATGTGTGTCGTCCGGCCCAGTCCACAACCCAACCACTACCACCAACCAGTCCATGGATGAGTTAAATTACTCACACTGGGCTCTTTCGACCAATTTATGTTCAGGGCACGTCTCATTCCAAAATAAAACTCATTCAGTTCACGTGATCATCTGTCAAACTGAACCACTGCTTTGCTTCACGTGCACACGCACGCACCCGCGCACAACTGCCCACTCCGCAGTTCCTGAGGGGGCGGGGGGCGGAAGCCCTGTAATCAATGTCTCCACGGGATGGCAGTATGAGCCCACAAGTGTGTGCATGCATACGCGTGTGTGTTGGCTTTTTCATTGTGTACGTGTGGAGTGGGGGGCGTGTGTGCAATCCACGTGTGCGTGAAATCTGCGTGGGAGTTCCTTGTTTCGCCATTCCGGGGTGTTGCCAGCTGCGCGGCGCCCCTTCCAGAGGCGTCTTGAAGAGAGGGAGAGATCTCTCTCTCTCTCTGGGCTCCTAACCCCCAGCCCCCACACCAACCCACCCTCACCACCGACAGCTACTCCACACACCCGCCCCCCGCCCCTTCTTTAAAAAAAAAAACAAAAAAAAAAAAAAAAAAAAAAAAAAAAAAACACTCGGGATCCAAGCATGCCACAACAGCCGTGCCTAGGTATCCGCCTTTCCTCCCCCAAAGTCACCGCAGGCGCAGCAGCAGCAGCAGGCTTCCCCGATCCGCGGCAGCTCCGAGCCTCCTCCACCGAGTGATGCCACTGCTGCAGCGGGAGGAGCGCCCAGCTGCCACCGCGTTCACTGACGCTTGCCAGAGGACCCGACAGCACCACCATCTCGGCCTTTGACAGAAGACGACAGAGCATCCCCTTCCACCCCCCAACCCTCCTCCTCTTCCCACTCCCCCCTCATCTCCTCCCTCCACTCCATCGGCTCTGCTCCCGTCCCGACTCCAGGATGTCCGACAGCAACGCAAGTCCGACGGACCGGGTGATCAAATGTAGGCAGCGCTTCCTCCGCGCCCGTTTCAGCTCTTAACTCGCTTTATCTGCGTGTGTGTGTGTGTGTGTGTGTGTGTCCATTGCTCCTCATTACTCTGAGCGGAGCGTTTTCATAATAGTAATAATAATAATAATAATAATAATAATAATAATAAAGGGTTGGATATTTGGATGACGAGTCAACATGCATGCGCCTTTGAAGGAGGCAGGGAGGCGGCGGTGGTGTTGGTGTATCCGGCACGATACGCCATAATCAGGGTCTTCCCTCGTTATTCTATTAGAATTCACCCCCTCACCGAGGCATTACCCCATTTTCTAACGGAGGGGGCGGAGGGGAGGTGAAGGGGCTGGGGGAGGGATGTCTCCTCCTCTCTGCATATAGCCGAGTCGAAACTGTGCGACATCGCACGCTGCTGCCGCACGAGCTGCACGCGCTCCTCTCCTAGCGGTGGTGTCGTGTTACTGAATAATAATAATACCCGAACCGACACAGAGAGAGAGAGAGAGAGAGAGAGAAAGAGAGAGAGGCGAAGGGGGGTTTGGGGGGAGGAAAGCACTGCCTGACTGAGAGAGGGGACACGACGAGCATCTCGTTCCAATGAAACCCCAAACAGCGTGACGATGACGGCCAAAGGCAGACATAAAGGTAAACTGAACGAGGGGGTTCGGGTGGGAAGGAGGGGAACGAGTGTGGGGGGGGGGCAGTTGGGATGGCGGCGGCTGGTGCGATGATCGTCGGTGTGGTGCTGATGCTGCGGATGCGGATAGTGTCACGGGATGATGCTGCAACTATGCCCGGGATGCTGAGGAGAACGAGGGGGTGGGGTGGTGCGGGGCTAGAAAGAGGTGTCATTGTGTCAGCCAGGCGGGTCGGCGGGGGTCCTCCTTTAAAAATAACAATAACATAAAAAAAAAGAGTCATTTGGTGATCTGCCTGTTTTTCTCTGGATGGACCAGTGTGCTGACCTACATTCGTGCTTTCTGATCCAGTCGGAGCCAAAGTCCGATGTCGATGCGTTCGGACCGCAGGTGTGTGTGTCGGACGGTAACTTTGCCAGGCCTCGTCCCCGAGTTCCGCGTGTGTAACGTGGCGAAACCTGATGGAGAACTCGCCACACGGCGTCCAGAAAGGAGCCGCGCGTCGGGGCTAAAGTCGATCGTTCTCTTATTTTGTTGTTCTGTTTTTTTCCACAATGGCCCCAAAGTGTTTGGGTGATTCAGCCTGTCCTCCTCCGCGTCTCCTTAAAGGTCTCCCTGCCCCCCACCACCTCTCCTCCTCCACCATCACCATCATCCTCCTCCTCCCGTCCTCACTCTCGTGATTTTCCCGATTTTCAAACGAGAAACAAAATGGAGCTTAGGGATGCTGCGCTGCGTAGACCAGAGTCTGTGTCGCCACTCTAATGGTGTGGAAGCACCGCTGGAATACGGAATATTTAATGTGTTTCAAGTGTCGCTTTCTAAAAAAAAAAAAAAAAAAAAAGTATTTATTTTTGCTTTTAAGCATGGGCGACCACGGCGGGGAGAGGAGGAGAGGAGGGGTGATGGGGGGCGGAGAGGGAGGGAATCCACTTGGGTCATGATCCGTCGAGCTTGCACAGATTGTCGTGCTCATCGGGTCAAAACGGCGGCTTCCACGTACACACCCTGCCCCCCACACCCACTCATCCTCCACCTAAAAGAAATAAAGAAAAAAAAAACACACACACACTCAGTCATCTCCTTAACCTAACCAATGCTCTTGTTTATTCCGAATTTAAACCAATTTCCTCACAAAGAAACACACAACTAATCATTTCTTTAACCTAACCAATCCCAATAATTATTACCAGTTCGAACCAATTTCCTCACAGATAAACACAACTCTCCGTCTCTCTATGCCTCTGCTCGGAGAAGTGGAGCAGGTGCTGCATACGTTACGTCGCTTGGGCATGCCCCGGCATTCCGTGCGTGCATCGTGCGTGGAATGGGAGTGGTGGGGGAAGATGCGTGGAGTGTAGGAGAGGGGTGGGGGGGCGGTGGGGGCTCTCGGAATGATGCTGCCTTTTGACTAATGTTCGCTTAAAAGGATTCGTGCAGCGCAACGTCCACCAGCCGTCTACCCTGGGACCCGCGTCTTTCCCACGCGTTTCTTGCCGTTTTGCGTGGTCGTGATGACGCCTGACCCACGGCGGCTTCGGACGTCGACACTTGTCGACGTCCGAAGTGTCGGACAGACGGGTGTGAATGGTGAACGGAGCCGATCTGGAGCGAAAATTCATTTAGTGACCTCCATCACTTGAGTTAGACTATTGTCACAAAATTGTCTGCTATTGTCAGAAAAAAAAAAAAAAAGAAAGAAAAGAAAAAACAATAATAAAAACACACAATTTTGCAATTGCGGTGTTTCAGGAAAATAATAAATTGAATTAATTAATTGACATAACGATGGGAAAAAGCTTGTTGACGCGATAAGTCATTAAAGTGACGTCAGTGACAGATGTAAACAGCTACAGTGCCTGGGACGTCCGGCGACAGACCCCGCCTACCTGGAAGCGGCTCCGGGTTTTGGGGAAACTGCGGGCGGCCATTTTACAGGAAAGCCCCGGCACGTAGGAGTGACCCGCTCCGGTAGTGCAACATTGTGTGAGGTTTCATTTTATGCTCCCGCTTCCTGTTTTCGTCTTCTTCGTCGGTTTCAATTGCAGTTGTGCATCTATTTTGATGAAGTCGAAAAATTACCTCTTTTTTTTTCCAAATTGTTGCGTTTTCATTAAGGAAAATGAATAGAGACGCAGCTTACGGAGATGCCTGTTAGAAAGTCACCTTACTAAATGTGATGGAGGACGCATTTAGTTTGTCATTTTTGTCTTGCTAGTAGGACATTTAACTGGGAGGTAGCGTCCCCTAGCTAGCTCGTTATCCAATATGGCCGCTGCACAAGGAACAGAAACTACATACACCTTACATTTATGTGCGATAAAATGGAAATAAATGCATTTTTACTAAGTGTTTTTTTTAAATTTGCTAATCAAACATGTTACCACGGGAGAAACCGACTCGTTTGCTCTTGGTCATCCAAATTTGGTGAGTAATTTTCCACAATTCTCAGAGGAGAGATCATGTATAATGTTCCCAAATAATGGCAGAAAAAGGAAAAAAGAGACAGTTACTAGCTGATATTAGCAATAAATTATTCAGATATGTAGAGAAATGGGAACAAAAATACATAACTTCAGAGCGCCAGTGGGGATAAAAGGGCCGAAACAACCCCCCCCCCCCAAAAAAAAAAATTCAAGTCAAATGAGATTAAGAAAGCACAGAAACTAGGGAAGTACTTTGATACTTGGAAGGTTGAGCCAGTCCAACATGACCTGGAACCCGCAGCTGAATTTGATAACCTCTGCTCTGCTTCACATTATTCATTAAATACGGCTGTAAATAAACAGTGGAAACATGTTGACTTCTGCAACTCACCCACTTGCTCTGAAGGTCACATGCAGCATCTCCATGCTGCCTCGTTAAGCTGGTAAGCAGAGGCCAGTTTGTCATTTCTGCATTGATTGGTTTGCGGCTGCACCGAGCAGGAAACGTGGCCCCAGTGCAGCACAGAGACGAGAACCAGGACTAATTAAACCAGCAACTGTAATTCATGGCTGTTGACACGAAACTAGAAACTTTAAATATTTTTTCTCTGGAATATTTTATGCATTTGTTGGAAATAATATGTTTAAAAAATAGAGAGATTTGAGTTTTTTTTTTAAATATGAGATTCGTTCAAACCTTTGAGGCGGATACATTTGCATATTTGCAGGTTTTTTTTGTAGCGCATGTTTATGAAATATTTGAAAGAAGATGGAGCTTGGGAAGCTGAAAGAGTTGACCGCAGTGCTACTTCACACGCTATTGGCTGGTGTTGCAAAGCAGCCAATTCTGGAGCAGCATTCGTTTTATTTGATTGGCTATAACCACAAAAAGAGCTGAGACGAGGAAGACTGTAGATATTGGTTTCTTTGGCAGTGCACAGATGTTTTCCACTGGGCATATTAATGCATATTGAGGTGTATTTGGTGTTCGAAATACTAAAAGAGTCAGTTATAAGGGTTTCTAGACGGGTTTGCTATATTTTTGCACTCGTTTTGGGCATGTTTGAGATTTAATTTAACGTTATTTTCAATTGAAATACAAAAGAAACTACTATTCCCACTGCTGAAGAGGAGGTATAACATCCTGAATAGTTACTATTAAAACTATTTTAGTTTTAATATTAACATGGATTACGATTTTCAAATATTTGGGCCCTGCCATAGAAATGTATGGCAGGGCCATACATTTCTTACTTCACCTCAAAATCACTGCCGCTTCCTACTACCGTTAATGCGGCCTGTACCGCTGCGTCCCCTTCACAATATATATATTAAAACGTGCGGCTCAATCCAGTGAGGGGAGCTATTACTTTTGTTGGCATTTCGAGTAACCGTGGCGACATAATTAACAAAAACAACGAGCCAAATTCAAGTCAAAACAAAAGACTGACACAAAACAGAGTCAGTTTCACTCAAAATAGACAGAATCTTGTCTCCCTCTGAGCTGCTCTTTAGAAGTACAGAGATGGCAGAATGTCAGAACTACAAACATTGTGGAACAACTGATATAAACTCATTGAATCTCTGAATAATGCTGTTTGTTATGTGAACCTGCGCATTTCGGCCCATTTGAGCTCAGCTTGTCCTCTGTTGTTGAAAGAGCAGTGATGTTTAGTTCAGGCAGTAGGTCAGAGATCCCAAGAGTAGTAGCTCGTAGAATTTGAATGATGCGAAGCACAATTGCGATTCCACCTGTTTAAAAAAAACAAAAAACATAAAAAAAACAAAAGGTTTTTTTGATTGGCCTGGTGAAAATCTTTATTTAAATCCAATGAAAATGTTGGTCAGCTCATCCAGTAGATGAGAAGAGTAGTTCAAAATTCCACGACGGTGACGTAAAAGACATCACTAACGATGAGCCAGTTGTTATGTAT